TGCTACATTTGCTACAGGTCATAGTTGGCAGGTATACATGTCTGTATATATTTGCTACGTTGCTACATTTGCTACAGATAATAGTTGGTATACCTGTCTACATATTTGCTACGTTGCTACGGGTAATAGTTGGTGTGCATGACTATATATTTGCTACGTTGCTACATTTGCTACAGATCATAGTTGGTGTGCATGTCTATATATTTGCTACGTTGCTACATTTGCTACAGGTCATAGTTGGTGTGCATGACTATATATTTGCTACGTTGCTACATTTGCTACAGATAATAGTTGGTATACATGACGACTATATATTTGCTACGTTGCTACATTTGCTACAGGTCATAGTTGGCGGGTATACATGTCTGTATATATTTGCTACGTTGCTACATTTGCTACAGATAATAGTTGGTATACATGACTATATATTTGCTACGTTGCTACATTTGCTACAGGTAATAGTTGGGGTGCATGACTATATACAGTATTTGCTACATTGCTACATTTGCTACAGGTCATAGTTGGTGTGCATGACTATATATTTGCTACGTTGCTACATTTGCTACAGATAATAGTTGGTATACATGACGACTATATATTTGCTACGTTGCTACATTTGCTACAGGTCATAGTTGGCGGGTATACATGTCTGTATATATTTGCTACGTTGCTACATTTGCTACAGATAATAGTTGGTATACATGACTATATATTTGCTATGTTGCTACATTTGCTACAGATAATAGTTGGTATACATGACTATATATATATTTGCTACATTGCTACATTTGCTACAGAGGTCATAGTTGGTATGCATGTCTATATATTTGCTACATTTGCTACATGTCTGCATGTAACATGTCTGTATATTTGCTACAGTTGTAAATTTAATATTAACATGTCATCCAGCATCGAAGACGGTGTTCCTACTGTGAAATACCCGAAATGCAGGCGAAGCAAAGGCGAGGTACAACGGCCAGCATGCAGCCTACTGCCCTGCCATTTAAGTCGATCAGAAATTAGAAACTGTTGATAATTAACTGCTTCGAAATCATCTCAGCCAATAGAAATCGTCCTTCTCGGAGCTGCAGGTTAGCCCTAATGGATAGAGCTCTTCTGCAATTAGGGGTTATATACACTTCTGGTTTCCAATGGTCTCCTTTACTACCTTTCTTGCCACAGTTGATTTCATTATGGTCTTTGGTTCCCAATGTTTTTCTATCTCTGTCATTGCTTCATTGTAATGTACCAGAACACTTTCTTGCAATAGGCTCTGGATCTACTGAAATATTCATTAGATTTGAAGACGTTTGTGTCCCATGCTCATTGTCATTTTTCTCACATGAGACTGACTTGTCATTTTTCTCAATTTCCCTGTCAACATTGGGATTTAAGTTATTGTAATCCTCCCTTGACATTTTATGGATCTTTCTTAAATGTGGACCAAGTAACAACGTTTTCTGGCACAATTTGCACACTTTTCTTTTATATTGCATGTATTTTGGTCTATTGGGTTCCACAGGTACTTTTAAATAGTCATGCTGTTTTTGTGAGAGTGTGTGTCCAACCTTTTCAGGTGGGTACCACATTTAATGCAGCCTTTAACTTTACAGATGCCATCATTTCTCTGTAACAAAAGGTTAATTATTCCAAGTGGTATTATCCATTTGTGTGATTATAAAGCTTATTAAAATAATACCATCAAATCCTTTGTTTTGTGAGTCCTTTGTTTTGCATTTAACATCTCAATAACCTGTTCATGTTTCTTGTGATTTCTTACTTCACTTTTCCGTTAGATTTGAAGAAATTGCTGTTTTTCTGGCTGAAAATCTTGTGAAATGATTCGGACAAGAACTTGCCTTGAACACTCTCTTTTGTTTTACACCACATTTAGGAAGGGAAACTCTTTAAAAACCTCTTCTTTTTCATCCTTAAAACTTGCAGCAAAACCCCAGTTTTGACACATCGCCATTGTCACAGGTTTTGTAAAAAGAAAGTTGTAAAATTGAAAATCTTCACCAAATTTTGACCAATTCTCTCGCATGATGCATAATTTGAAAGCCCAGATTTTGCACTTTATACTCATGACCGTTGCTGGGCAACACAATAAATATGTGCTAGACAATCGTGCCCAGAAGTTGACGTGTCATCCAGGGCGCAATGCGACTTACCCCATTCCCAATTCCAGGGTGCAATTACGCGACTTAATACAGAAATAGCTTTTCAATTACCTCTTTTACATTTTGATGGCTGGCAAATTCCAACTTTACATTTATTCTTTGTGACAATAATGATGAACCCTTCAAATTTCCAAAATACTTAATCCCTTTTCCAGTAATATAGATATTTTAAATTCTTGCTTGAATCTTGTGAAAAAAAGATTTCCGATACAACATTTTATACAAATCATTGTTTGTTTGTTTATACCAAGCCCGCGATTTTTTGATAATATATTATGCAGTACATATTGTTGATTTTATTATATATAATAGACTACATTGTATATACATTTGAACTTTAATAGATTACTCACAGTAATATAACTTTTTAACTTTTTACATTTCCTTTGCCACTAGTGATTCAGGATTACACTAAGGTTACTCATCCCCACAAGTACTTTAAAACAATTGCATTAAGCTTATCCTTGATGACGTGGCTAATTATATGTGATATTAAAAGACATTGCATAACAACACAATGAGACTATAAATTGAATCTGCGTGCTCCTGCAGGTATAGTAAGTCAATGCAAACCGATAAATGGTTTATCATGGCAATATTACTGATCAAATGCGTGCATACGTTTGCAAAGAAAAAGGATTCCTTATGAAAAATTTCAGAACAGGCTGGTGTTTCGAAATCAAATGTGTTTCGTATTTTAAATAACAGCAAAAAGCAATCAATATCCGAGGAAACGAGGAAGGCCCAAAATATTGCCACATCAGCGCTTGTGCTTGGAGATTAGCACGGGACAGGGTGAAGGGCGAGAGGGCATGGAAACAGCAATACATCTCTTGGGACCATCCGTGATGGTTTACATTTAGCTAAGTTTTGAAGGATTTTCTCACAAACTGTGATTCAGTATCACAGGATTTTACACTTTTCTGGAGATGTTTTGGCTCTGTTAGTGGCATTTCTTTCATTGTTCATATATCTTGCTTCTAAACATTGCTCACTTATAAAATCTTTCCATTCCGTAATCTCATACTGAATCACAGTTTGTAAGGCCCCTTTTACACGAGACCGGGACAAAATCAAACCGGAATGAAAATTGAAATTGTCAACATGTTTACATGAGGCTGGTATGAAAATCACAAAATTTTCAATTTATCCCTCCTTGCCAGGTAATTTTATTTTTTAGATGGCTTTTTTAGCATGTGTTGTTCACTTGTTTCAATGTCAAGGTTACAGCTGAGACTGGTCTGAAATGCATTTGTGTTTGCATTCATTCCAGTTCTGAATTCATGCTGGTCTGAAGTCAGTCGGCTTGGTCCAGCAGGCGGAATGACTTGAGACTTGGTCTGAGTTATTTTCGTCCCAGTCTCATTTAAACATCTATTATAAATAATACTATGACCGAAACAAAATGGTCCCAGTTTCACTTCGTTCCGGCCTCATGTAAACAGGGCGTAAGGAAATCCTTCAAAAGTTGACTAAATTTTTCCAAAACTTCAGTCAATATAGTGTTGTAGTACACCCATCTAAGGGTTCCTTTCACCTTGCCAAAACCTGTCATTAAATTGTGGGTTGCCCGATATATAATTCCTCAAATCATGATTTTTGAAGTTAATTTGATAGACATTTTCAATTGCGTGGACTATTGGGTCCTATTTCTCTGCTAATTTAGCCCTAATATTGTAGCCATTTTCAGGAAAGGAAGTGGAAAAAGCACATACAACAGCAATTCTTCTTCAATTAATGGGCAACCACTTCTAAATAGCAAGGAAGCTGAATGACTGTAGGGGTATATGGATAGCTTTTTCATGGGCTCTGCTTTTTTCCGAGCTCGACACATTTTCACAGTCCAAGCGTTTGTATGTTAAAACTTATGTTGAGCCATTGCAAGTGAATTTAACAAAGGCCAGTAAACAAAATTGACAAAAATATACACGATAAGGTTGCACATTTCAGGTTGGAGTGTGGTACTATTTCAACTGTCAATTCGACATCAAACTTTGAAAGGTTCAAAACCTATCTGTCTCATGTTTGCTCACTCCATAATTTTGTCTATGCAAAGGTTTTCATCATAACAAATTATAATTTAGGTTTGGGAAATCATTGTTTTTTTATCAGGGAGCAGTGTGCACTAACACTCTCTTACAAGTCTATAATAAAATAACACCTGAAATAAAGTTTTTCATTATTTAAATTTTAGCTTTAAGTTTCTTGCGGCAGCTAAAAGTAGCAAAAACATACAAATTTTATACATTTACAGTTTGTTCGGCCATATTTTAATACTCATTACTTTCACAATAAGCAATTGGCAACTCTACGGAAATGTCAGATTTTTAAAAACTACCAGTGGTGTATGTTATTTTTTGGCGGTATACCGCTGGTCAAAAGCTATTGAATATATTTTGAGGTTGTTTTTTGAATTTTTTTTTGGCTGCATTGAATATTTTACGGTGTAATTTACTGAATATTTCAGATGTTGTATTGAATATTTAACAAGGTTATTGAATGTTTTTGCGAAGCTATTGAATATATTTCGGTAATTATTGAATATAAAATGAGTGTATTGAATATAAATTGTTTATTGAATTTTGCTACAATCCGGCAACCATAGAAGGTCTGTTGTCTTTTATCAATAAACTCAATATTTGTTATTTTATCAATAAACTATTTATCAATGGACCTAATGAACAAAATTTTGTTCTAGACAAGTCTAGACAAAAATTTTATCACAGCTTGAAAGAGCATCAGAAAATTAGTAATATTCCGACGTTTCGTTGCAAACTGTTGTAAAATGCGGATAATATAGCCCTGCGAAGTTTGCTGTTTTTCAGTCACTTTGTATTATGCACAGGAAATTGATACTTTTTTCAGAAAGCGGTATCAATTTCTTGTGTGTAATACAAAATGACTGAAAAATGGCAAACTTCGCAGTGCTATATTATCCGCAGTGCTATATTATTCACAACGAAACTTCGGAATATTACTAATTGTGTGATGCTCTTTCAAGCTGTGGTGAAATGTTTTTCTAGACTTGTCTAGATCAAAATTGTGTTCATTAGGGAATAGGTCCATTCTAGCAAGTTCTGTTGATCTATTTCTATGAAACCCATACTGGTGCTCTGAAGTTAGAAAAGGTTTTCTGGGAAAGGATGGTAACCAACAAGGGCCAAGTATTGCATACAACAGAATACCATTTGTGCATGTTTGAGAGAAAGTTTGTTGGTGTCACCAAGGAAAAGACAAAAATGAAAAAGCGAAACAAAACTAGGGATCCAAGGATAGTGTAAAGTTTCAAACAGGGGTGGAAAAATATTTTATTTTCTGGGACTGCAATGAAAAGTGGGAAAATTTTCTGCGAGTTGTCGACACAAATCTTGTATAATTTAAATTAATTAAAAACTAAAATTTTTTATTGGCATATATTTAAGGTGAAGGTAAAGATCAAAGTCAAGGTCATAAAAAAGGGCCTTTTTAATCATTTTTTTAAATGGGGGTCAAGGTCACCAAAAAAAGGGGGGCCTTTTTATTTAAACATGAACTCCAATGTCAATTTTGTATCA